ATGAATCATCATCAGGTGTAAGGAGTAGGCTGAGTTATCTCAAGTCACTGGTCGTACCGTGACACTACGAGGGAGAGGGATGTTACGATACGTCGTGAATCGGAGAAAATCGATACAAAATGCGTAACAGTTCACATCGGTTGAAATTAAAAAAAAGAATCGCGCATCCAACTGTAAGAAGTAGCTGCGTTATCTTAAAAAGTCACTGGTCAGACCATGACACTACACACTCTAGTCCAGTAGGTGGCAGTATGCTCCTAAAAACCCACTATCTAACCCAGACGTCAGGTCCTACGTAGGCTGAGAGACGTTCAGGTGTTGGAACAGAACGTGGGAAGAACGTGTTCCACAGACACCAACAGAGTTCTCCAGTGGAACTCTTTCCACTTCCTGTTTCTTCTTCTTCTTCTTCTGTGGTTGTTTCATATATTGACAGATCACAGTTACAGTCACACAGAACCGTAGCCTGACAGCCTCTGATTGGTCAGCTGTCTAATGGAATTCCGACCGGGCCACGGTGTGGATTATGGATTCATGACACGTGTTTCTGCATCTGGACAGGACGTAAAAACCCAGACCTGAATCTGATCTGGATTCTGACCCGTGCTCAACGGCCGGGGCAGAAAAACAGGTTCAATCTGGACGTGTCTCATAAGAATGCTGGGAGTTGGTAAATATGTATGAACGGTACAAATATTACCCAAATACATACACCTGCAGTAACAACAAAACAGCCGCGAGGCAGCTAGTAGTGCCACACGGTGGCAGAAGTGGGTAGTGGATTCGCATGTTTGCAGGGACTGTAAAGAATTAAAAAAAAAAAAATTGCATGTTTGCAGGGACTGTAATGAATTAAAAAAAAAAAAAAAACTACTCCTCATTCTACAAACTAACGTCGAGTCGAACAGTAATGACTAAAGTCCACCAACTACGATGATACATTTTCACTTACGTTTTGTATATTTTTCTGATATTTACAATCCAGTCCTCAAGTTTTAATAATAAATAAAAACTTTATCAAAAATCATGTTTTTGTTCCAGTGATATAGAAAAAAATGTTGTCATTTTTTTTAGAGGATGTTGATGTGTATCATATCAATCGCGATTATTTACAATTAATCGCGATTAATCCACTAATCTGCGGTCAATCTAATCAGATTAGAAATTATATATATTTAACCATTGACTGCGCTCAGATATTTATTCATTAATAAATTACTTTATTTATTGTTTTTTTTATTAAAATTTTCTAAATACCATCGAGACACAGCGACCTCAACCGACCTAAACCGACCTAAACCGACCTAAACCGACCTAAACCGACGTAAACCGACCTAAACCTACCTAAACCGACCCGGCTCTTCAGACAAACCTCTCCCGTTTCTTCTTTGTTTATCTTCATCTGCTGAATGTTTTTTAAACGCTCGTCTATAAAACACGTCACGACAGGCGTCTGTGAGAGCCAATCAGACGCCGGGCAGACGCCCCCTGGTGCCCGTTCCCTTCACTCCCCTCACTCACTGCCGTCCTTCACTGGCTGCCGCAGATAAAGCTCAATGTGATGTTTGTGTCGGCGCCTGATGTCGACACACACGCGCCGACAATGCTCCGCGCGCCGCTGCGAGATGACGGCACAGATACATTTTTCACCCCCGCATTTACATACGTGCTTACACAAGGTGGCAGCGGCCGAGGGAAGAGAATGGCGGCGGCTGCGGTGAACCGTGGTCGACATGTTAGTTATCTCCCTCTGATAGTCAGCTCTCCGTTAATGCAGCCGGCCGTGTTGACAGCTCTGCCAGTTTGCTTGCATTTACAATCTCCCTAAAACCACTCTAGAGGAAAATTGAAGTTGGATTAAAAAAAAAAAAAAAAAAAAAAGAATGAATAGATAGATAAATAAATAAGTGTTCTCCTCCAGCTGCCTTTAAAATGGATGTCTGACGCCCAAAAGCTTTTTATAAAACCTTGGCCTTGGAGCTAGCACTAGTGTGTGTGTGTGTGTGTGGCACTCACAGCCCCCCCCCCCCTCGCCCCCCCGTACACAGCAGTTCTCATTTTCTCCCCATTTATATTTGACTTAAATGCGTCTGTCTGCTCTCCTGTCTCTTCCGGGCTTTTAGACGTCGTCGCGTTGCGTCGTGAAAATCACACATCAGTGTAAGCGACAGCGCCGCACCATTACCGCCACACCGTCGACGGGGGTTCAGGTTTCAGGGGGATCATTTGTTGATTAAGCCTGAATTTGGTGCTGGATTTTATGTATTTATTTATTTATTTTGCGTTCACACAGAGAAGGACGCGAACGCTGCTGTCGTGGATTAAAACTGTAATTAGATCTTTGGCTGCGTGTTCAAGAGAGAGAGAGAGAGAGAGAGAGAGAGAGAGAGAGAGAGAGAGAGAGTCTGAATCAACACGGTCACATCATCTGCAAAACATTGTCATCCCCAAATAATGAAACTACAGGGTGGATGTTGTTGTGTGTAAATGTAACTTTTGTTTTATTTGAAAAACGCGTTCTTTCTACTAGAACGACTCCAAAGACTTTTATTTTGAAAAACCAGCCCCGACATCTGCCCAGGCATTTCTTTAGCTATGATATAAAATCAAATATATCTTGTAACTGTGCAGTTTAATACCAAATGGGCCACGGGCCAGTACCAGTCCATGACCCAGTGTTTGAGAACCGTGATCTCATTTCATTCGTTTATTGCTGCTAAGAACTTGAACAAGTCTTTTACGCTCGGTAAAAGCCTTCTGGAAGGTTCCCTCAATCTCCACTGCTCTCGGATTAGCATAATCAGACTATCTTTTCTCTGCCCCTCTCTCTCTCTCTCTCTCTCTCTCTCTCTCCTCCCCCCCTCTCCCCCCCCAACCTCTAAGCTTGGGGCCCTGTGCAATTGCACGCTTTCTGGCAGACTCCATTAACGCAGGGTGACATGTCCAGGGAGGTGGACGTCGCTATGACAATCAGTATGATGTATAAAAAAAAAAAAAAAAAAAAAGACGCAATCAGGGAAACGTCACAGGGAAGGCCCTCGTGCCTCCTGTTTGACCACGTCCTGTTCTCCTGTACCACTGCCAGCAGGACTCTGATTATTTTTCTGATTATGCCAGGTCTAATGACACGCCACCTTGCTGAGCAGAGTGGGATTGACTC